AGGATGGCTATAACTAGGCAACACACACGGAGGTATACGGAGCAATTAGCAGACACAGGAGGTTCATACATGCATCCTTTCCATCCAGCAAAGACATTGTTTTGCCTTTCGTTATAAGGCAATATATTTGGCTTGTGGAACTTGAATTTTTGAAAGGTTTTTGCTAGCGCATTGTAAGACAGCGCTGAAGCTGTACTTTGCATTCCCCTAAAGGAAATGAAGGGATTTGCACATGTATTAGGAGACAGAACTTCAAACAATGACTTTGAATACTGTCTTATTGTGGACTTTGGTGTTTTTTTTGCAAGATAATAATTTTTGCAATGATTATTTGAAGACTCAAAACTCAGTAGAAGTATTTCTTTTCCCTCCTGGTCTAGGAACTTGTAAAGCAGTTTACTCCATCACTGTCATAGGCACTGAATCAGACTCAACAGGTAGCACTTAACAAGCAAATTACTGCCCAGGGAAGCAATACATAATTTAAGGTGTGGGTTACAAGCTGTTAGTTTATCTCTGTGTCCAGGCTTCAGCTGTGGTGAGGCACTTTAGCCTCCACTTACTACAGGATTAAGCATTCGGAATAGCTTACATGCTATAAAAACACCCCAAGTTTGTTTACTCCAAACTGTGAGTTTCCGACTCCGCTACAGTGGTGCAAAAGCACCTCACACACGTTTGGTATCGGTGACACTGATGCTTATATGACCTTAGCTGTGATCCTAGACCTACTAAGGCCATCATAGGTATTAATCACAGTAGCTCGTTGCTGGTTCTGCATAAGTGACACTCACAAAACTAAGCAACCACTGGTGAAGAACGCCACACCTTGTGGCAAAGCTCAGACGGTTGCAGGCAGCCCCTGGCTGACCGAGAAGGTACTATGGTAACATTTCATTCTATATGCACACCCAGAGAGTACCATCGCGTAACCTTGGGCTCTGCCTGGAAGAATCTGCAGCTTTGGGGGAATTTATGCCATCTGTGCAAATGGCAGAAGTACAAAACAGGTTTTTACAAGTGTATAGAACAGTAATTATACAGCACTCTGCTCAGCCTGGAGCAGATTTAATAATATTATTAATACTGCTGTGAGTCAGACCAACTCTCAGAAAGCACAGTGTAAACCTTGATGTTGTTCTTCAGGAAAATAAGTTGCTTCTCTGGTAACAGAGTTCCATTAATTTTTCTGGCCTCTTCTCTCTCTGCCAGCCAAAGACCATAACCAAAACTCATGCTGTATGGATTGTTCATTGCCAATTAACCCAACTACTTTACAGCATCTAAGGGAAAGAAGCTTGGAAAGGAAATACTATTTTTACCTCAGTAAATTTGTGGATGGAGGATTTGTAAATAGGAGTAAATTTGAGGATTACTTACTAAAGATAAGTAATAGTGCAAGAATGAACAAAAATATTATTCTTACCAGTTGTCCTGGTTTCAGTCAGGATAGAGTTAATTTTCTTCCTAGAAGCTAGTGTGAGGCTGTATTTTGGATTTGGAATGAGAAAATATTAATAACATGCTGATGTTTTGAGTTGTTACTAAGCAGTCAAGGACTGTCCAACTTTTCATGTGGGCCTGCCAGCAAGAAGGCTGGGGGTGCACGGGGAGCCGGGAGGGGACACAGCCAGGACAGCTGACCCAGGCTGGCCAAAGAAATATTCCATACCATACAGTGTCATGCTCCGTATATAAAGTCGGGGTGAAAAAGAAGGAAGGGGTGGAGGGACATTTGGAGTGATGGCGTCTGTCCTCCCAAGAAACCATTACACGTGATGGAGCCCTGCTTCCCTGGAGATGGCTGAACCCCTGCCTGCCCATGGGGAGTGGTAAATGAATTCCTTGGTTTGCTCTGCTTGCGTGCGCAGCTTTTGCTCTACCTATTAGATTGTCTTTATCTCAAACCATGAGTTTCCTCACTTTTACTCTCCTGATTCTCTCCCCTGTCCCACTGTGGCAGAGTGAGCGAGTGGCTGCGTGGTGCTTAGTTGCTGGCTGGGCTTAAACCATGACACCAGTTACATTAAATTCTTTATTTTAGGGGTCAGCTGAGCAGGGATCTTGCCCTGTAAAGCAGGACTTCTTTTTCAAGCTACTGCTTCTGAATAATTCATACTTCAACACTCTTTGTTCTATATTCATTAATATTCCTTCTCATGTGCACTGAAAAATTAAAAAGCGAATTAAAAAAAATGACAATGTTGGACTAAAAATAGTCCTTTAGTCTATGTAGTGGCTACAATTAAAAAAACTTCAGCAAACAGCATTCTGTTCTACTTGCTACATGCTCTGGAAGATTCAACACCTACAGTGCAGCAAAGTTTTATCTTTTAAAAAATCAACTGGTGCAAGAAACTTCAGATAAATCGTTCTGAGCAATATATTAGTTACTGTCAGCTTCTATATAACCTGACATCACAGTTACAGTCTTACAGCCTTACGGACTCAGATGGGTCTCGTCCACATGGTGCAATGCAATGGTTTCACATCATGCAAAAAACCCCAACCTGTCTTTGAATGAGGTCCTCTGCCCAGGCTGCTTTGCCAGGTTGGAGCATCGCACGGGCCTGCTGTTGGCCCCTGGCTAGTCCAGACAGCTCAGGCTTCTCTGCACTTTACCGTACTGCAGGACAAACGTAATACGTATGTTTACTAGCTGAGTCTTTTTAGATACCATCCGTATCTTCTAAATGAAGTATAATTTACAACTAAGTATTTGACGCATCAAGGTAAAACTTTCAGTTCAAACATCCTTCTTCCACATCCAGTTTTTCAAAACTGCTATAGCACTACAAATAGATAAACAGCAAATAGCTGGTAGTTTATCAACAGAACCGCTTTCTCATTTCATAGATCAGATTCCTCAAGGTGCAGTTTGACGCAAAAAAAGCCAAAAAGCAAACAAAAAAAGCCGACACCTGAACAGATTATAGCTTATGAAGTTAAATGAATACATTCTGCAACTTAGCATCTAAATCACTAGTCAGATTTTTCCTAGCCAAGACACTCTCCTTGGCAGACACTACTTTGTCTTCCAGTGCAGCGTACGCGAGTGACGACCAAGGGCAGGAACAGAGACAGGCCTGAATTTCTTTCACCTGTTATCAGGAAAGTTGTATGATTTGCATTAGACCTTAAGATAACCAGATAAAGAACAAGGTAACGACCAAACACTCGTTATTAATAATTTCTGCCTCACCTGCCTCTGTACAGGGAACTCTATCAGATCTGTGCAGATAAACATACTCAGCTGGAGTAATGTGTGGTTGCCCAGTTTTCTTAAAATAACAATAAGCCCAAACCAAATTAATGTAAAATTTTAAGTAAAAGCATTTATTCACAAAGTCCAAAACAGACAACACAGTTACAACAAAGGGTTACAACCCTTACAACAAAGGGTTATCAAATACCAAGGTCTAGAAGTGGAGTGGGAGTGCCACGAACCAACACACCCACCCCCCCAACCCAACAGAGATATGTGTAAATCAGTATAACAAGGTTAAATATGGAACATCTCTCCCCTTTCACAATTGATTTGCTGCTGCTACAAGCTGAACATCAAAGGCTCCAATTTTGCCACACCTTACACATCAGGCTGTAAGACCCAATCTTCTCCCAAGAAGTTTGCAAGGGGTTTGCAAGGCATGGACTAATACCACCTCCCTGAAACTTGTTCTAGCCCTCCCTTATCCAGAAGGCACACTAATCACACAGCTTGAATTACAATAAGTCCCGCCTTATGCCTCCTTGAGGTTGTACTGGTTATTAAACCAGAGCCCATACTGTTAACCCGTGCAGAAGCAATTGATCAACAGCTGTATATTAGACACAATTTCAGCTGGTCCTAAAACAGATAAAACAACTGTAAGAGAGTTGATACTTGCTAAGACTATCATCTGAAACAACCAAGCAGGGTGGTGACAGTGCTTGTGACCCCGCTCAAGCATATTTGCAGCAGGACCCTGAGGCCCGACAAAGCAGGAAACTGTAACATGTGGGTTGGCAAAAGACTACGAGGCACAGGACGGCAAGGCGAGTAAGGCAGAGAATAGCAAGAACCTCCACACTTACAGACTCAACCTCCCCCATCTCCTGGTCGGAGGAAGCAGGACAGACAGCATGTCGTGCAATGAACAAAGGGAGTCATGATCTTAATGTCGATAGTCAACATTAACTTAATGTCATCTTAATGTCAATGTCAATCAGGTGGGGTAGTACCTAGTGATTCATTTGGTTCTTCCTTCTTATATTCTTACATACATGAATCAAAGGTCATATATCAATACCCATTAAGAAATTCATTTTTCTGTTTCACCCACCACAGAGATGCAAGTCGCTATTATACCAAGCAGCAGTTCTCCTGTAAGGAAGGGGAGTTGGCACTATCTTTCATGAAGAAATGATAAAGCTCTCCGCTCCCTCTGAACGTGATTCATTGTGCACGCTCCAGTGTGACATGAGCCTTACGCTGACCTTTATCCCTATCTTAACTGATGTATTAACCAATATACTTGGAACAAGCATTTACATGAGAAAAAACACACATTGCTCTTTAGTCCCTGACTGAAGCCAGGTAATAGCAACACACAGTCTTTTCAGGGACTAATGACTAATGCTTCCTCTTCCAAAAATCTTTCTCCTAAGGTCTGCAACAATCCTGAATGGAATAACATGTCAACCCCTTCTCAAAAGTGCTTGAGGCTATTTCCAGAGCAAAACATGGACAGATCAGGAAAAGCAATTCCACAATTTACCAAATTTCAGCGAGCCTTAGCCCTTGTAGTGAATGAACAGTTTGCCGCTGTATCAAAGCTAGAATTTCACCATTTATTCTTACATGTATCTTACCTTGTTTTTCTTTTAACACATAAAATGTGGCATAAAGCATATGTGGCCTTTCTAATTACAGTTCTCAATTGCGTCCATAGAAGATGATGACAGTTGCTTGAAAAACAAACATATAAAACCCACAAAAAAAAAAAATCAAGAGGACTTACAGGATCAGTCAGTTCTGGCAAGCTTGCTTGGTAGGTGAGAGGTCTACAGTCACGAGTATTATTCACCAAGACGCAAGGAAGAAACATTGGTCCCAAATCATCCCCATCAAGCACGTCTACTGTCAGGGTGGTTGTACTTGTCCTTCGCTCATTCAGATTTTGGGCTCGGTCCTGTGGAGCAAATGAGTTCTATTTGGTGAGACTTTCTGAATTCAGAATCTACAGAAAAGTTTAAAGATAAAGCTAAGGGTAACACATATAAGCACTATAATTATTCAGATTCTAGGAAAGAGCTTATTACAGAAACTCCGGCCTCAAAGCTCCAGCCTTTAATTTCATAAAGGCTCAGAAATACGCTTCAGAGGTAGAAGTTTAGCTCTTGAATTAAGATATACTGCGTGACATCTAGCACTCAGAAATAATACAGTTCTGAGAAATTAATTTTCAGGAAATGTGTGAAATGAAGATCCATGTCCTGTTAAGTCTATAAAAATGCAGCGTATTTGTGCAAGATAAATAGTCCCTCGTGCCTTACTTATAATCCAAACTACACTCTTACGCTGCCTTGTGTAGCTCTATCAAATCCTCTCTGTAAGGAAAAGGACTTTCACATATAGAAATGAAAAGCATAAGAGCCCCTGGACTGTAATACTCAATCCACCTCTGCGTGCCACAACTTAAGGAAGATTTAGCACTTCCTTTCCCACCTCCCCTGTCCCTGGCAAAAAAACCAAAATCAAACAGCCCCAGGACCGCAAAGACATTGATCTAGGATCTCCAAACTATATTGCACGTGGGAGGCAGGTTTGGCTAGAAAATGAGTTACACTGCTTGTGTTTTAAAGGTTGAGAAGAACACTTGTGTCCACAATAAAGCAGCTACAACGCTGCATGCCAGGAAAGTCTCCATGCTGCATGACAGGTTCTTTTCAATGCAGGGTGATTTGGTTTTGGGGTTTGTTTTTTTTTTTTTTAAATCTTTGGATACACAAGACACCATTGAGTATTCCAACTTCTTTATTGTCTGCTTTTTTCTTTTCCAGATGGTACAAAATAAAACTACACTTTCCTGAATTGTGGGAACCACCTGGATTATGTACACAATGTACACACTAGCAACAGTTCACCTTTTCTTTCTTCTTTTTCTATCATAGTGAAGAAATAGCATCACTCTCCAATGGGGTTTTTTAAAGTAAAAAATATTTCCATTTTCAGGGAGGAAGTGCTGTGATAGCTTTTCTTTACAAAAACAAAATCTTGTGGAGGGACTATGGGCCATTAGCGAAGTCTTGCCCTCCTACCCTAGGATAACATTGACAGAAAAGAAAAAAAGCAATTTTTTAAAGTATTTCTGCTGTTTAATATCATCATCTGTATAAGAGGAATAGGTCATCGCTCTAAATCAGATTGGATAAATATTTTTTTTTCCTATTTTGCAGTCCACTAATTTCTTGGAACTGCCTCCCATTTACAGTTACTAAATCTGGGAATTTCAGAATTCAACTTTCTTCATGGTCAATGATGAAAAACAATACATGCTACAAGGAATAGCCTTCAGCATCAACTAAACTTTTGTACATTCCCCCAACGTGCAGATGTGGCACTTCAGGACATGGTTTAGCGGGCGTGGTGGTGCTGGGTTCATGGTTGGACTTGATCATCTTAGAGATCTTTTCCAACCTTAATGATTCTGTGAATATGTGCCTTTGAGTCATACTGGATCAAAGCAGACACAGGGTAATTAATTTCACGTAGTACTGCCAGGATGCAAGAACAATAAATGATCACTGCTCATGTAATCAGCAGAACAGAAGTATGATTGCATAAGTACATACAATAGAGAGAATTAAATGCAGGCTGCAATATTTTGTAAAATTAAAAACAAAAAAAAAAAAGGATGCATAATGTAAACTCCTAGAAAAGCCGGGCTGTAGGGCTTAATTAGAGTCTTTGAGATCTAGTTTCTCATCTGTGAGCCCTGAAAATTTCTGTGAGCTCAGCTACGTTTAAGAAAACACATGGCCTCACAAGACATTTCAGTCACACAAGCTGTCCCGTTACGTATGCGCATGATACAGAAGCTATCGGCACAGCTCTAGTCCCAAACCCAGCACCACGAAGGTGAATGACTGACTGTGTAGGGTCATATATTGAAAGGCATGAAAAAATTAATAGGAGATTGCTTTGTAGATGTACTGCCAGCGTACATCCCAAGCTGTGCCTTCACCAGTTGCTCCTACAGAGTGACAGGCTTCCCCCCTCGCGCGAGGTGTTCGCACTGCCACACGCCATGCCTTTCTCTTGAAAAACATGACCTGCTCAACTACCCCAGTTACTTTTCTAGGAACGCGGTGTCTCATGAAACTCCCAGCTCTGACATCAAAGGAAAAGAGCTGTGAATATGCAGTGGTGATCTGCGGAATAAATTATTGATAAACAAGTTGAATCGGTTCTGAGCGTTCCCACATTCCTGTTCAACAGATCAGCAAGTTACCCAGGTAACATGACCAGTTCGAACAGCCATAACATATCTTTAGATATATCCAAGTGCAAAAAGCATCGAAACACCCCCAGAGCCTATCTTCTATTGAGGGAATGCCAAACGTGCCACAAAATATATAGAAAAGTGGAGTGTAAAACATATCGCACAATGTATCTACAGTTCTGTATCAGAAAGATGACAGTAATATAAAATGCGTGAATTCAGGAGCAAGCTACCCAAGGTTGCTTCAGAGCATTCTCATTTTCCTACAAATGAAGCACTATCACAACAGTAGACAACAGAGGAAAAGTTTTAATTTCCACTATTATGAGAAAGACAAAAAGGGAAATAAGCTTTCACAGCCCTCAAGGACACCAAAAACTTCTCTGATGACAGACGTATTAGATAGAGTTTAAACATGACTTGTCTTTTCAGTATGCATTATCCACTACCAGCCACTCTGTAAAATTCTCTATATACACTTGCCATATGACTTGAAAGAAAAATCATCTCTTTGTAGTAAAAAGCATTTCGAACCTGAAGAATACAACTAACTGTATCCATTAAACTCATCTGAGATCAAATTAGCATCGCTAGATTTGATAGAAAATGAACGCTTAGTGACACTAAAATGCACTTTTCTGCATGGGCTGCACATGGAATTTGCAACTTGTTCCTTGTGACAAAAAGGTTGCCTTGTTACACACACTGAGCAAGCTTTTCTAACCAGTAGTAATATGTCTAAGCTTTCAACGACCTAGGTAAATCTTAAATAAGATCTTCAGGAGAAGAGCATTATCAGACCTGGTATTTCAGTGAGACTTTTCCTCTCCTTTGAAAAAATTAAATCTGAAAACTAAAACTCCACCTAAATCAGCAGCATAAATGGCCATTAAGAGATCTATACTTACATTTGCTTGAATAATGACAAAATAACGAGTCTTTTCTTCATAATTTAGTCTTTCCCGTAGAACTACTGCTCCGGACAAAGTGAGTGGAATATCAAAGGTCCTGTTGGAAGTCTGCAAAAGTTAGAACAGTAGAATCAAATTGACCATGCTTCAAAGTTAAAACATGTTTTAGGCCATGACGAGATGACTGACTGGATGGCATACCAAAATTGCTTATGCTTCCCAGATCATGGATTTTAAAGCTTTCTGTGCTTTCTCCCCACCCAATTTCTCCATCAGAACCCCCACAATAAATAATCTGTACGTAACAGAATTCTCTCCGATTCTTTGCATATACATTATTACTTCCAATCACCAACTGAAGTCTTAAGTATCCTGTTTCTTGCAGATTTGCCATGCTGAATTTGCAGTGGCACGTTCAGAAAAGCTTTCCCTATTTGTCAGCTGAGAACTCAGGACTTCAGTTTCTACAGTTTGGTTTGCCTTCATCTATTTTTTTCCTCACTATTGTAGAAAGCATCAAGTATTAAAGATTAATTAAATCCACACCAGTGTACTTATATTTTCTTTACACTGGCTGTCATGAGGGCAATGAAGTAGTAAACACGCAGAGAACGTCAACACTACACACTGAGGTGCCTGTTCACAGTGGCAGTTATGCACATGTTCAAACACTAGTAAATTCAGATTTTAGGTAAATCAGGTGAAATTCCATTTGTCCTGCAGATTTGCTTAAACAGATTCAGACTGCAAAGGTGTGGCATCGAATGGTAGGAGGGTACCGCTGGGTTGCACACACCTTTAAAGGATTCACTTTGAGTAATGAACCATTTTGGGAGGGGGATTACAGGCACAGATCCAGGTCTCAGATGTGAGATTTGGTCCTAGTATCAAATTAATCACATAAAAAAATCTTCTCACGCTTCAATCTATGTACAATATAGTTAACATTCCAGTAGGCTGAACGTGTAATAGCAATACAACATTCAAAAATCTCTCCACAGAAAAACGCTGCAGAGGTACAGAATGCTATTCTTTCCTCGGATAACATAACAAGGCATTTTCTTTCTCCAGAAGTTGAAACATCTGCTTATGTTGTGGTTTGTTTTTCAGCAAATAAGTGATAATAATTGTTAAATTCTCCACGTTGCAGATATTTGCGGTGTGCAGAAAAACAGGATTGGAAAGTACATCACAGACTCTGCTAAATAACTGGAGACACTGTTTGCTTATGTCTTCAGTATGCCACTCATCTTTTTGGACAAAAAAAATAGGTAGTTCCCACGGGGAAAAGAATATCAATTGCAGTATTTATACTGAGGCGAAACAGGAAACTAGAACAGACTCTTACTGTTGGATGAAGGCAGAACCAAGCAGGGTTGGGTTCACGGCTTTTGTCCCCCCCTTTCTTTTAATGGTATTTGCACAAACAAGCAAGCAGGCTGTGAACTATGCAACTAATCGGTAACGTCTTTGACTGCTCTACAAGATGATGCCACGGGCGTGCGCATGCGCACATACGTGTGCCACTTCTAATTCACGAGGAAGATTCTCCTCACTGCTTCAGCCCATTTAGCTGTGATTTAAAAGGCCAGAACCAGCTGGAAAAAACTCTTGCAGTTGAGAATCAGCCAAGGCACTCTCAAAAAAACTGTCTTTTCCTTGGCAGATCTTGGCATGAGGATGCACTTAAGTGGAACTGTACAATCTAAACTGTTAGAAAAAGAATCAGCACAATTTCAGCAAAAAACTAACTTCTTCCCAAACTGCTTATATCTGGAGTCCCCTCATGCTCCAACACAACACAGCACAGAACCGCAATCCTTCAGCGGTGATGTAAAGCTTAACTTCCAGACATAAGTTTGTGCCACAGCTCCTGGAGGCCTCAGATCAACCCTGTGATCCCTCTGCAAACCCCATTTATGTCTGTTGCAACCCAAACTGTAACGCTCCAAGGCAATTAAAAGATGTGCACAGCACCACCATATTTCAGTTGCATTTCCATCCAACACTGAAAAGAGCCAGCATACACCAGAAGTCAGGAATATCAAGTCATTCCTTTGTCAACTGGCTACTCCAAGAGAACAAAACTGGTTCTCCTCTTACTTCATGTAACAACACGCATGACAACAAAATGCTTTTGTACAGCAGCCTTCATAATGTAGAACGTACACTGTCCCGTAGTCTTGAATACGGGCCAGCAACTTCAAAACGGGAAAAGTCACCAGAATAACAATTCAATTTACTCCCCAAAGCGTTGGTACGTGAAAAATCAGTATAGCAAAAGCATTCTGCATATTCCCTAACTCCAGATAAATGGGAAATGTTTAATTTTGAATCCTCATCAAAACACAATACAATGCATCTCAGTAAAATTAGTTAGTAAGGAGGGCGTCCAGAACTTGTTTTGAGGATGTATTTGTCTTAATAACCTTCAGGTATAAAACAGAGCCCTCAGAGATCCACTCTGCATTAGAAGACAGAATCTTTTTGGCAAGTTAATTGACTTGATATTTAGCTTTTAACAGCTAAGAGAAGTTTTATAGCATTCCTTCACCTGATAGCTACAGCCCAGCCTTATGTCAAGTATGATTCACATTCATCTTTCTATTTGGTTTTATATATCTTCCCAACTAAACAACAAAAAAATTGAATTTCTAGAGTAACACCTCTTGTTTTTACATGGGTTTTTTCAAATGCTTAAATTACTCTCCAATAAAACCTATGAGCTATAATCAGTCCTTTTTCTAAGGCAGAAGACCATGTCATCGGTGCCAAACAACACTGCGGGCATCTTCATCACACAACACAGGGGGATTCCAGAAGTAGAAAAGTAGGGAGATTTCACGCTAAACTGTACGCATCGTTTTTGAGCCTGGTACAATTGTTTCCCAAGTTAAGGAAGAAAATCCACTTGTAGCAGTTATTATGCAGTAACTTTCTGGGAAGTTGACAGCTGAGACGAAGCAGCTTACAATGACGAGAAGTCATCTCTGTCAAGCACACGCACAAAACACACCACTAGGTAAAGCAATGTTATGCACATAAAGGCCATCTACAGATTAAAGAATCGGATTAAATAAATCTGGAATACAAAAATAGTAAGGCAAAGATGCAATAAAGCAACTAGCTACTCCAAAGAAGTTGTTCACACCAGGGAAATCCCTTGCTGTTCTTCACAGCCACTGGGAGACCAAGAACAACTAAGTTTCACTGAGTAAGAGAAGAAAAGAAAGTTTTACAAAATGTTTCTTAACTCTTCCTGCGGCAAAACACCAGACCAAACCACTTAGGCATGCAATCATGTCCTTCCATTGTGCTTAGACGAACCTCTCTGTTGAATTTGAGGCTAAAGCACTTGTGGAAGATGCTTTTATTTAGAATGATTTCCCAGGATCCCTTTGAACAATATAATGCTATGACTTAATAGTAAATTAAACACAAAGCAGCTCTTACATTTCACTGTAGTGCAATATAGTTTAACAGAAATAATATTTTAAGAAGTTGAATTTTTTATTTGTTTTCAGTATACCAACATATTCAATGTATGCTAAAATGTTCCATTTTTCAAAACACTTTCAATTTTCTAAAGTTATGCGGAAGAAGTATTTTCTCTATGCTGACATCTTTCATAGCCTTTGGTGAAACAGAAGACATTATTTGAGCTGGTTTTGTTAAGTACTCTAAGTTAAGGGTACAAAAAAAGAGTGGAGAGAAAAATTCAAAGCCTGGGTTTTTTGGTTTTTTTTGTTTTTTTTTTTTTTTGCGAATTTGGAACTGCTTGTCTGTTCCTGTCACTCCTTCCTGCCTTCTGTTTACTTTTCAAGTATTTGTGGTAGCAGAACAGCATTTATTTATAACACTTCTGTTATGCAAACAGTTAGAAGATATCAGCATAACATTTTAGTACTCACTATTTCCATAGAAATTCCTTGCCTTTTTTAAGAAGTTTAGGAGAGAAACTCTTCAGTCATACATACTGCCAGCACAAAACACAGCCCAGAATGTAACACGATGAACCCCCACACCATGCACTAGTAATTTTACTCATTTAAGTAGTCTCACTGAAGTGTCATAACTCAAGAGACTGCTCAAGTCTGTGCAATTTAATCTCTAAGAAACGACTGCAAATGTTTAAAAAATTAAATCATTCCAAATATACATAACATATAAAGGCAGAAAATCCCCAACCTTCCAAAAACCTAACCTCATAATTCCACTTAAAGACTTTGCCTCTCTGCAAAACAATGCTCCCCAAAAAAGATTGTGGCTTAAGGTGCTGCAAAGTCTCTCAGGAAACCATCTCTGTCCTAAAAATATGTAGCTCTAGTAAGTACATCTTATGCCTCAGCACGTAGCTATGCAAAAATGAACAATTACCCCAGTGAAAAGTAAAAAAGTAGGCTCTTGTATCATTAGTTCACACTGATTTCTTCCTTGATACTGTCACTATTCTACAAAATTGTACCTCCTAAAAAGTATAAGCCCTAAGTATAATTCAGTAGATACTTAAACTCTCATTGACTTAAATGGAAACAGGACCGAAGTCTTTATGAGGTGTACAGCTTAAATGGTGCAAGCTGAATCAGAACTTGTGTGCCTACGCTTCTAATTAAACTGAAAATCAGATTGCTCTATTCCCACAAAACCATTTCTGCTCAAATTCCCCTTAAGTAAAAGTAGGGAGTTTCAGTAAGAGATTTTTCTTCCCCTCACTTGAACATCTATGTCATCTTTGGGATGAATACGTAATCAGGTTACCCTGCTTAACAAATTACCACACCAGCTGATTCACAGTAACTGTGCTCTTAACCCATGGCAAAAGAGCTTAGTTCGAAAAAAGGATTGCTAAAATTACTTTGAATTTGCAACGAAATTGCGGATGAGCACTTCACACAAATCACCCATGTGCAAAGCCTTGTTATAATAGAGAAATTCACACCCTAAAAGAAAAGAAAAAATTCCCGAAAAAGAAAATCTGACCCTGAAGAGAATTTATTTTAATACTTTTAAGTTTTTTGTCTCTAAAACTATGTGTTTGCAAAGATAATATGTAGGGATCAGTAGTAGTTTATTTTAACAATATATAACCCTCTTTTTAAAATGGCGATCTTTATATGAGTGGCTCCATGAGAAAAGTCAGAATGTCCCTTGGGAAAGTAACTTGGCCTTGCCTATGAATACTTCTTAGCCATGAATCTATTAGGTATAAATGTGTAGGAGTAAATACAACTACCTATCATGGACTGAAAATGCATGCCAAAAGCAAGATGAAGTGTGCAAACAACACTGGAGAAGACAGGAGATTATTAACAACTGACACTGAAGTAATCCAGCTGCTAACAGCATGGCAACGGAAGAGAAGGTAAACTCAGCTGTGTTTACAGGGCAAGCAAGGCTCATCGGCAGAGAGGATACTTTACATCATGAAGGAAAGCATTTTTTAATCAACTCCAATAGCAACCTCTTGTTCATTTGCTGCTTCAAGGAGGGTGTGTGATATACGCACGCCCCCCTGAAAAAAAAAGAAAGCTAAATGCATTTATTTACCTTGTCATTAGGATTGTACTGGATGACATATTCTATCTGGCCATTCGGACCATCATCAATGTCAGTAGCACCATTGTTTCCAGAAAATCCTGTAAAGATGGTTGTTCCAACTGGAGTTAACTGCAAGAACAGAGACAGACAGATACCCATTAAAACCTCCGGGTATACAGGAAACAAAGAACTCTGTGCAAAGTTTTTTGGTTCCCCCACCCATAGCTCTGGTCTATAATGCAAGGTTGATGTTCTCTCCTTCACTTTGCTTGGCCTGGAACCTCATGCATGAGCATGAGGTTAGACACAACGTGCTCAGACTCTACTTTAACTGATACCAAGTGTGACAGAGAGAGGGAAACCAATTTCCATTTTTATCCCACAGATCAACTGCACCAGAACAGAACCCCATTCGTTTAAAAAAAAACAAACAAAACCCTACATTTAAAAAGTCTTAAAATGGAAAGAATTAATGAAATAAATATAAATAATTAAAACAAAAAAACCAAACCACTTTTTCCAACTCAGGAAGGAAAATAAAGATGAGCTGCAAAAGTAAACACAACTTATTTAACACTGTCTTCATGACAACGTGAATAGCACCAGATTAATATTATTACATGCAAACACAGGCACCCAGAGAGCTTTATGGCTTTAAACAAATGCAAGAATGACATTGTGTCTCCAATATTTTGTTGGCAGTGATTGAATACCCATAAAATTATATTTTGAAAATGAATCAATTTATCATTATGCTAGCATAGATAAATAGCATGAAATCAAGACTCATTGAGATCAAGGACAGAAGTCCAACTGACTTCTTGGGAGTCATCATTTCTGAATTTTAATATTCAGAAAACTTTGAGAGTAATCAACCCAAAAGGGAAAAACAAACTGACAAACACTTCTGGAGTCAACACAGACATTGCTCCTAGCCATGCTTCCTGCTGCTACCCTCATCACACCCAAATTTTTGGCCCTTGAATTTGCAGAGCCTCACTGACCCCTCTTTCTTTCCTCCAAATTTTGCATTAAGTTGTTGCACATCTTTAAACCTGTAGGGTGTAAATAGGTTTGAAATGCTGAGAGAAGGTGGCAAAGTACAAAGATTCATTCAAGTATTTGCTGCAAATATGGATGCTATTTCATTTTCGTATTTTGTACTTCATACCATAAAGGAAATAATTAACTGCCCTTTTGCTCCTATAGTCATAATTCCTGGTCTTGTTTTATTTATAAAGCTGCTAATTACTTGAAGAGTTTAATGGCCGACAGTTCTCAGAAATATTTTTCAGGGCTGAGAATACTGAATCTTTAAAAGGAAAAACACCAATTCAAAGCCTTTTTAATGATAAAATGGCTGAGGCTTAATTCACAATACTTAATGCCAAGATAACAAAGTACGTTTGTGTTTTGCTACAAACTTGACTTGCTTACTACTGGTATAGATAGTAGCAGTGTCACATGCGGGTACAAAGAAGTTGACTGTTCCCTCCTGCCTACTAATTGCGAGATAATTACCCCACACAGGGTGTCTGCCTTGTAGCTCTGGTACAGCACCAGCCTTTCAAGAATTCAGGGGAGCAACCATCTGAGAAAAATGAGCCTTGCCTGACAGTATGCCATCAGAGTCAACCGTCATAAAGCAACGACGATAACTTACTGGTTAACGACAGAGTGCATGTGTAGGGGAGAAGGGGCTTTCTCATGTTTTTGTAAGGGGACAGAAGACCAAAGCAACCTGGAAACCCACCTAGAAAATTTACAGGAGGGTTTGTAGTTTCCCCACACCCACCCAGGTGCCCTCACAGCCCCCTCCTCAACAGCACAGGGGAGGAAAATCAGGTGAACATGCTCGAGGGCCGAGACAGGGAGATCACTTACCCCTTCCCCTCCCAGGCAGAACACTCAACTAGGAGAAAATTAACGTGCTACCAATTAAAAACACATTTGGATGGTGACAAACGAAGACAAACCAGCAACTTTGCCTATCCCACCCTTTTCCTCAAGGATCAGCTTCACTCCCGACTCCTCCTCACAATGTGTTCCTCACCCCTCGCTGCCACACGGCATCTTCCCCTTTCTCAGCTCCGCTTCCCTGAGGCGCCGTGGGCGGGGCTGGGCTGTGCCCCGTGCTGGGGCCCTTGGAACCGGCCAGAACTGGCCGGAACCGGCCCAGGGCAGCCCCGGACTCTCCTCACAGATACCCCTCAGCCCCTGCCGCCAGGCACAGGCACCCAGTACAACACTGAATAAAAGCATTTAAGCAGTTAATCACTGGTTAAATGATACAGTCTTGTTAGCAGAAAGAGCAAGGCCCCGCGCCAGCTTGTCAGGGGTCGGCACGTGCTGGAAACCTCCCACGCTTCTGGTGTCCAAACACAAGCAAGCCGCAGTGCGCCCAGACGAAGTGGCGAGGAGCAGCTTTGAAGACACCATGTGTGTAGCAGGCTGGGAAGCGGGGCGCAGAACACGCTGTGGGAGACCAGGCTCCTCACCCAAGGCGCTCCGTTAGCCCGCTGACACGTTCCTCAGCGCTCGCTGCAAAGCAGTGCTCCCCGCGCAGCACCTGCGGGCGGCTGTCACGCTCTCGGGAGAGAGGTTACCGCTGGAAATCAAACGACAGACCTCTCTCAAAAAAATCCTGTCACAAGAGAACAGCTCAAGAGCACAGACACACCCAAGGAGGTGTTTGTGCTGCTCCCGCCGGCCGGACGCTCTAACGCCGGGTCCTGCAAAGGGAGAGGGCAGAGCTCCAGCGCAACGTCCCAGCCGACGAGACTGCCCTAACCGGGAACCGCCGCGGCCGCCAAGAGGCTGGACCTGCACAAGTGCAGACGCGGCACTTCGGGACATGGTTTACTGGGCATGGCAGTGTTGGGTTGACGGTTGGACTCTGTGATCTCAGAGGTCTTTTCCAACCTTAAAGAATCATAGAATCAAAGTGCTCACAGCTGAAGGATGCCGAGAGCTGCGTTGCTTTCAGAAGCACGTAAACGCTTGGCTTCCATTGAATTCAGCCAGCAGCTCTGCTTGGCGATAGTTATTTACTCTGTTTCATGGAGAGCAGCTGTATGGGGTCCTGACAGGGTGCTGATAAATGACGAGTAACATAAAAAGGCTCCAGCACTCTAAAGCACATCATTAAGCGATAACAAAGGAGACAGTTGTAAAAATGAAATAGCAGTAAACACCAGAATTACAACTGCATGCTCTTACAGTAAAAGTCAAAAGCTGAAGTCTTGGATTTAGTGTACTACATCCAAAATAACTGGCGGCAGATGTGCAGACCTTGATGAACCTAATACACAGGTTTCTATTTTAGCTACATTTTCTTTTATGCAATACAAATGATATTAGAAAGGACACTGAAAAAAAGTCCCCCGACACTTTCTGAAAGTTAGGAAAAAATTAACTCAATTCACTCAACTTTCCAGCCTGCCCGAGATCTCACTTCAGAGATTACTGCAGCCTTTGGAAAAATTCAGATGAGCTCTTAACCAAAGGTCTCAAACTCCACTTCTAATCATTTGAGAGAAGCGCCCGGCTTTCAAAGCCACACAATATTTTTACGCCAAGTTCTCAACATTGCGATATAGCCAGCAATATCACTTTTACCCACAATTTGTGAGGTTCTTCTAACAGATTGCTGTCAACATTGACTTTATTGTTGGAACAATAAGGATGAACTCAGTTCACCTTATAAAATATGACTATATATATAGTGTTTGTATACACATATATATAGTGTTCTCTATCAACATAAATAATCCCACTGTTCTTGTTCAAATAAGAATTACTTATTATGTGAACAGCCCGTGAAGGACTGCACTCCTACAAAGACAGACCAGTAGCATGAGAATGAAAGGCATGTTTTTCTAGTGAATATTATGGAGCTATCTAAGACTCGTATCCAAAAGCTAAAAGAGGAGGCGGAAAGGCTGGGTTGGATCTCACACGGATATAAAATGGGTATGCCATTTCAATACACGGCATGTGCAAGCAGAACAAACCGGTTAATCAGATGTTTGGCACTGGTGAAAAGCAGAACATCAAGATGCTTTTGTATTATACGCTATACAATATACCTGAATTCTCAAAGCAGTGCTCAAATTCATTCTTTAGTAGATGCACACGCTCTCTGGACAGTAAAGACTTACCTAGAGCTCAGACCACCCCCCACCATTGCTATGTCAACCTATAGCAGAGAGATTCTGCACAGCACCCATTTTCCACCGTTTCCAATTCAGTTCATTCTCTGAAAAAACTTCTACCACCAAGTCTTCTGGGAGATGGGGGAGCTGGAAAGATGTCTACAGAGGGGTTTCTGGCCCCTTTGCTTTGCTGCCTTTCAGAAGGACCCAAAAATGGCTCCAGAAAGTGTTGCTTGAACTATCTCTACAGCTCCACTGGTCTCCTTCCCATTTGACATGCCTGCTTCGCTTGGAGAGGAGTTTTGTTTCTCCATATTAAACTTCAGTATCTCCTACAGAAAGGGCCTGAAGTTCTGTAGTCACCTGTAGCAAACTGTAGTAAACTGTTTGGCCACGCTGAGTGTCTTACCTTACGCAAGATAAAATGTTAGTAATTGTAAAGAAAAAAAAATGGTATCAGTGTTAGTGACAGTGTGAGGATAATAATCTCTGTGGGAATTCAATGTGGTGAAAAAGAACCACGATGACAAGAAACAAGTAAAGTTTCAAAACAACACAATTAAACAAATAAAGAGGAAATGCACACAAATAAATCTTCTTCTTCCACAGTCAACAGCTGTAATGCTTAAAAATTTCCTTCAACATGATTTATGCCTGTTAGAAGTCTAGATGCAGACAGGAACATTCAACACTTCCATAAAACATTTTGAAAATAAATTTTCCTATTATTGCCTATTTACAAAGTTAAAAATGAATAATTTTTCACAGTGGCCCCAAGCAGCAAAGCAAAGTAAGAGTTACAGTTAATCATTCTGACCTAATATTCTTTTGATGATGTCTACCTGCAGAGATTAATTATTTCAATACCACATGGAAAAAGATATGAATAATTACAGCAGAAGAAGTGATAATTCAGCACAAGTTATAATTCTCAACAGCCCAAAGCCAACGTTTTAAGACGACTGAAGTTAAAGC